TTCTCAATTATTTTCCAAAATGTATAAATATCTAACCAGTCTAATCCTAACTAACTATAATGAACCTTTCAAATAACTGGGTCTATTTAGAACTGCATATGTAGGGTCCATAAGAGCACTTTCCAGTGACATCAAAGGCCAGTTACTATAGTCACTGAACTGTACCCCCAGCATGGACTACTTCACTTCTCTAGCAAGTTTTTAGAGCTCAGCTGCGGTCCCAGAAATGTCATCAGAAGGGATTAACATTAAATAAGTGATACTGTATGTTACAATAAATCTCCCCTAATTTTTCATCCCAGTCCAAAAGCCAGAAAATACTTTTGTCATGAACAAATTAAAAAAAGAGGCAAGATTAAATTCTAATTTAATACAGGTTGGCTAATTGATCTGCTTGGGTTTTTGCTTTTAGCTATGTGTTAAATGGGACTGGTTTTTTTTAAAGTTTTCCTTGTTTATTGTGAACTCCAGGTCACAATGACTGTGATTCTCCACATACTTTTGCAGGTGGGTAATTTTCAGCACCTAAATGTCCCTGACTAAAGCAAGACTGCATATTTTTAAACACATTCAGGTTTGAACTCACAGCATAAAACACCAGGTCTTTAAAATACCCATGCAAAATACTAGCCATACATATAGCTAACGTCCCGAGGACTGCAGAGGGGAACTCCTCTGCAGCAATCTGCATGCTGTCAGTTGCGCAACCGAGACGAAGGAAGAGAGAACCTGAGCCAAAACACTCTTCTTTAAAAATGCATCATGTAAATTAGAAATAATGAAGCAATGTTTTCCCTCTTATCTGCACTCCCCTGTTTGAGGTAGAAAACAACTATTTTGCTGGGACTGGGAGACCATTGTAATTCTATAAGAATAAGATTTGCTCCACCATTGCCATCCAGAGCTGGGCTGCCTTTTCCTCAGAACTTTCTGGGTGTTTGTGCCATGACAGCACAGAGCCTGTTGCGAAGAAACAGCTGTCGTGTCTGGGCTGCAAAGGCCAAAGGCAAATACCTGGATTCAAACTATGACTTAAAAGAGCATCTAGGCTCTGTAAATACCCTGCACGACATAATCATGGATTCTTTGGTTCAATAAAGACCAGCAACAACGCACACCTGTCAATTTGTAAAAGTGTATAAATAAAGGAAAAAAAAAAAGAAAACAACTGTGCTTTGCCAAGGTTGCTTGAGAGCCATTTTCACAGGAGGCTTTTAAATGACAAGATCTGCACGAGATCTAAATGCATAATTTCTCTACACTAATTAAACATTTTGAGACAAAAACAATCTAAGAAAATCTCGTGTCCATACATGAAATGTAAGTTTTGCCCCTCATCAGTGGCTTGATAATTAATACAGATTCCATTCAAACTCCACTAAACAGAACTTACTGAATTGACCCTTTGATTTTAACAGGAAGGGATGATACAGAGCCTTCCTTAAACAAGGCTGAGGCTATACTCAGCGTCACACAAAACACACTGCAGTGAATTCGGAGGCACCCTGAACTTCACAGTTGTCACTTCCCGGCACTGCAGCCATCTGGAAGGCCTGCCATCTCCTACAGCAAGTGCAAGCTACTACGGCTTGTGCTAAAAGAAACTTCCATTTCCAACTGTGCGTGTAAGGTCTGAGCGCCCCAGAAGACCCACTTCGGTCTCTGCCCGAGGTGGACCTGACACTAGTCGCCCCTTGAGGCCGAAATCAGCGCAGGAGGCGACACACTGGGTAGCACTCTCACTCGAAAGATCCAATTTGGCCTCAGTATTCCTTGTATAATGAAGGTTTGAAATACGACTAGAAAGTATGTTTTTGGCTTCTCTGTTGTCTTTCCCCCCACATCAGCATATTCAGCCTGTCACGTCAAACGGCCCGGCGGGCTGGTCCCACCACAGAAGGGTGCCCCACAAGAGCTGTGCCTGGGGGCTCTGTGCTGGCAGGGCACGCCGAGCACCCAGGCCCCAGGGACAGGGAATGCTCTGCATCCCTCTGCAGCCTACAGGCTGCTGGATTCGGCGCTATGGAGCTCCTGAGGGGGATGTGCTCCCAGCCCTCCTCTGGAGAAGGGCAGGTTGCCATGACAAAGGCCCTTGAGAGAAAGAGGTGTGGGATGGAAAAATAGTATGAGAGAAACCTAGAGGGGAAAAATACAGATCTCAGTTCAGCATTTGCCATCATTTCCCAACACAAAGTCACTGAGATCTGGGACTTTGGTTCATGGGAAACACTAAAGGGCTACAACCACCCTGAAATCATGAGAGACTGGATGAAGGAGGGAAGCAAATACAAACTTGCAGCATGGAAAGAGCTCAGGATATGCTGATCCTGATGAAGAAAACTTCCCCACAGCAAGGTGTCCTAACGTCACTTCAAACAACCTTTATTATCAAATGCTGCCGAAGCAGAATCACTGCAAGCAAAGGCACCTTTCCCCTAGGCCTTTACAGCTCCTTCCCAATGGCCTTAAGAAAGCTTTAATCACCTGAGCCACCTGCCACCATTTTATGGATTGCACAGGCCTTGCTGCAGTAAATGCAAGCTTGCAATTGCCTTTTCAAAATCATACTTTATCTTTCTAAAGTTTCTCTATCCCAGAAGGTCTCAGCAAGGTCTGAACAATTCTACAGAAGGGAGCAAAAGAAAACAAAAAGAACAGGAATGAGAGGGGAGAGGTAGATCCTACCACAACACCAAATGATAGGCTTAATCCCGTTGTCTCTTCTAGATTTAAGAAACCAAGAAATATGGCATTGTATAACATGAGACGTGTCAAAAACATGGAGCTATACAATTACTAAGAAATAGAAAACTGGGAAATCCCACTGGCCTGAAAGGCAGAGTGAAAGACAGCTTCGCTCTCCTGAACTGAATTTTTAACATGTTGTACATAGCAGCCAGCCACCTCCCTCTCTCCCATTTGTTGTAGGGGATCCATTTCAAAACATCATCTCCTTGCTCCAAATCACGCCTGTCATTACAATCCCAAAGCACTCAGGCTGCACGCACGCTATCCCTTAAAAGCAGTGACTTCTGGGTTGGAAAGACATCAGCTGTACATAATGGGAATAGCTGCTGCCTACCTCCTCCCCGAACGCTGCAAACAGATCTCCCTGCTCCCCTTCCCTCTGCAGCATCTGAGCCCTGGCACAGAGTCAGCTGGCAGGGGCACTTCAGACACAGCTCCCCAGTGTCCCCTCTGCTCTCCGTGCTACGGATCCAGGAGGGACCCTGTGCTTGCGTGTCCCAGCTCCAAATCCCCCCGCACTCAGACTATTCCCATTTTCCCCACGGGGTAAGTTTCTCTCCTCTGCCTCCAGCCTTCCTCTCTGGTGTCAGCCTCCCGGCCAGCCCTGCACCCCACACCATACCTGTTGGCAATACTCGCATTGCTGCCGCTGCCGCTGTGTCTCCTCGCCCGGCTCAGCCTCCGCGTGGGCTTTGGGTCTTGTAGTCCAGGACTTGGAACCGAGGGGAAGGTCGAGGCATAGCCATGTTCACACTCTGCGTGAGAAGCAACAGGCAGGGCGTAAAAAAAAGAGTCATTAAAAACAAGAAAGAAGTGCTCAGCAGGCAGGCCTCACCGCTAACCCGCCAGCCCGGCTGAACCACCGCGGCTCACAAGAGGGAAGTGACTGATGCTGCGTTCCGAGGGAAGCGGGCTGGGAGGTGGGGAAAAGGGAGGAAGGGGAGTGCAAAGGCTCTGCCAGCCTTGGAGGAAGGACGACGACCGCTCAAACACCTGAAAACACCAAAGGAAAGCGTGACAGCCCGGAACGCGCCTCGCCTCTCCGCTCC